TAAAACCACCGCTCCTTTTATTTTCTTGTAAATTCGTTTAGGTTGTTGCCATTTTTTTAGTTCAGCGAGCGGGAAAGAGAATTCAAACCTTCTAACTTTTGGCTGGGACATATTGTTTTAGCTTGTTGAGTTATGCTCATATTGATTGCCATGTTATGCTTGTATATTATATGATTCAACATGATTTCTAATGGACCGTGTGATGTAAACAGATCATGACGTGATGGATATTCGTGTATATGATTTATCATGCAAGTGAAGCTCATTACTTCTGGGAAACAAATTGATTTTGTAATCAAATTAAATTCTAAGCCTATTTTGGATTCCTCATCTTGATTTTCAGGCTGTCAACATGTACAATGTGAAAAAAGAAAAGAAACAAAGAAACCAACGAGGGAAGTCTTCATCAATGTCAAGCAACAAGTTGAAACCAAATAAGAAACTCCAGAAGAAGCCATTGAAGAAGGGATCTTCAAAGAATGGCAAGGCAAAATGAACAAATTTTCGCAATAGATCATGAGCTCTTGTAGAGGTGCGCGTGTTAGATTACATTCTGTTTGACATTCTGAATGTACCATTATTATCATTATTTAGTAGTGAAGAAAATTTTGAAATTCTGTTTGTTTTCTCTATGAGAGTCCTTTTGATGGCCTGACGAAGCAATTATACAGTAGTTTTTTTACTTTAATTTCTTAAATTAGCTGTCAAATATTTTAAAGAACACAAAGAAAGTATACCGAAGATCATGAAATTCGTTCAAGATTAGATAACTCAAACACAATTGTGCGTCTTAACCCGTCAACCCGTTAAATTATGTTTAAATTCGTAATGTAGACAGTAGAGTAGACACAACGTTGAATATTGATCGATCACTTTACTTAAATCTCGTCCTGAATATCTATGTAGATGAAAAATGCTCGTCTTACAAGTGATCAGACATCGTTTTACCAAAACTAGCAAAGAAAAGCAAAACAAAACAAAACAAAACAACATTTGGTTCAAGAAGAAGAGACACTCAACACTGCTACAAGGCCGCTGAAGGTGGTGGGCGTTCACATACCTGGTTTCCGCAATTCACTTTCGCCATGTGCAAAATGGCATCTTTCTCTAAACGTACAAGTACCCTTTGCAAAATTAGCACAAAGCTTGGTCTTGAAGTTGTTTGCTGAGTGCTGAGAATGCTGCTGCTGCTGCTGCCTCATGGCATTATTGGCAGAGGCTGCGCCGACGTTTGCAATCAACTCGCGCACCATTGAACTAGCAAGATTGATCTGATCAAATGTACCCTCGAGCTCAATGTTCTTCAAGCTAGAGTCAGACTCGTGATCTTTTATAGAAAGTCTTGCTCCTGTCATTCGACAGATATTCTTCGAGTTGACACCATTCTTCCCAATTATGGGACCAGCAAGCGATGCATCGACGCTAATCTTTGCTGTTGCAGACGCACCGAAGCTAGCAGCAGGTCCATGGTTGGGTTGTGGCGGAGGCACATTCCAGCCACCACCCATTCTGGGTTGTTGTCCTAGTGGTCCTCCACCCATTCCACCGTGTTCTGGTGGAGGATTTGGCCTTCCAAGGTCCCACTCGCCATGAGCAAAATGGCATTTGTCACCGAATCTGCAGCCTTCGGCTGAGTTGAATTTGTTGCACAAACGTGTCTTGACTGCCGGAGGAGAAACACCATCTGGAAACGATGGAGGGGCGACAGGATTTCTAATGCCAGGGGAAATAGCAGGACTGTTCATCTGAGAAATTGCTTTGAATCCACCAGGAACATAATGTGCAAAATGACACCCCTCACCAAAAGGACAACCAGAAGTGCTGCATTTTTATTTCAAAAAGACGAGTAAACTTCACCATAGCAACCCGATCTAGAATACTAGTCGAAACTCATACAAAATCTAACGAAACCAACAAAAAACCGATGAAGATTCTTGAGCATAAACAACCAAAGTAAAGATCACAATAACTCTACTCCAAAACAGACAAAGATATCAAATTTCAAGACAACTCTTCAACTTAGCAACAGAAACAAGTTGAACTACCGTATCAGAAAATTGTAATGTCCAAAATCCTTAACAGGAAAAGAAACCGAAATCTTAAACCGGGCTTAACCATCGTTCAACAAAATAATTTCATATGAACTAGACGGAAAATTAGCATAACATTTACAGATTTTCATATATACATATATAATTAAAATAAAAAAAATGGAAATGTGGCTCATGTGATAGCTAACCTATTGTAATATCTCAAGAATTTTATGTTTGTTTCCTTCTCTTATTTGAGCACGATTGGGGCGTGGACATAAAGGTCTTTATGACACAAGCAATAATTCGTTTAGCCAACATTTAGATCCGGCTCTACCCAAACATTTCTGGTTTACCCCCATGGGGATGGAGCGAAAGAAGTTTTGAGAATTCAAGAGAAGGTCTTGGCTTCAGCTTATCGGGATAGAGGTAGGCAAAAAAGAAATTTTCGAACAAATAGAACATGATTTACCATAACTTTTAATTCTTTGATCAAAACCTAAATGCCAATTCAATTCTGCATCGAACTGCTTACTTGAAAATATCCAAGTAAGAACTAATTATCCACTTAAGAGAGAACAAGTTTGCATCCAATACAAAAGTGCTTTCAATTTAGACATTCCCACTGAACTGTTGTGAATCAACTATTTCAGTTCAGTGATTGTTGTTATGATTACATCATTGCATAACCTGAAACAACTTTAACTAACCAATTCATTAGTCCAAAGAACAATAATTTTGCTTGAGAAAATTAAGTAAATCTTTCTGGAAATTAAAGGATGTTAGCAATAGATTGAGTGGCATTATATTAATTCATTTTAGATAAGTTAAGATTTGAACCTGAAAAACTTTGTGCAAGGCCTCGATTTGCTTCCTAAACCAGTAGATAAGGAGTCCATTTCTGTCGCACAACATTAATTAACTTTCCTTAGTTCAAATTTCACCCAATTATTGATCTCCCAGCTTAAAATATCTCAAATTGTTCTAACATCTTTTATGGCTAACACAACACACTATTAATTAATGCGGTGAAAACGGCCAGCAGGAGGAATCAAAAGACACCCACATCCCATTTTGAAAAACTATCAACAAAAACAAAGACAATAGGGAGTGATGTACTTTTTATGTTCCAACATCCAAGCAAAGGATGTGAAATCGACATCAGTTGAAGCCATAAACAGTAGTTTCAAATACTACAACTTAGAACATGATATTAGAATCATTAACCAAAAAACAAGTGAGGATACTAAAACACTATACCTACATCTATATATTCAAACGAAGAACAAGCTACATGGTAGGGTAAAAGGCAACAATTTGTGTTCATTTATTCAGATTTGTTCTAGAATAAGCTTCCAAGTTTCTTCTAGCTAGAGCGTATACAAAAGAACAGCAATACCCGAGAGTAAATAACAAGTCCATCAAAACTATCAATAGTAGTAAAAACGAACAGAAATCAAACAAAACGGACTTCAGCATACACATGCTACAACTACAAGCAAGGGAAACAAAAGCCACCAACAAACCCATGAACCAGCTGAACGAGAAAATACCAAAACCGTTGTGAACGCCCAAAAAAAGCCCAAGAGGAGCATTTATGAAGCAAAACGAACCTGGTTTGGACTTCTTAAAGGCCCCATTGCCATTCAAGGCGGTTTCAGCTCTCTCCCTCTTGCGAACACCGTCGGGGTCCATTGAAGATAAAAGCGAGCAGGACCCAATACTCGAAAGGAAGAAGGGGAAATCTCAGAGAAAGAAGAGAAAACAGGGAATGAAGCAGCCGGAGAAATGAATGTGGGAACTAATGAAGACGAGGAGGAGGAGGAGGAGGAGGAGGAGCAGGAGCAGGAGCAGATATGGCAAGAAGCGAAAGAGGGGCGGATTTGAAAAGTAGGTCAAAATAGGGTTTGATAAGATGACTAAAAAAATGTATGGATGTGAGTCAAGTTCAAGTGATTGAGAGTTTGATGTTTGTGTTCATGCTCCTGATCGTAATCGAGCCATTATAACGCTCGATAACCATCGTGTTATGTCAGGATTTGCAATGCAATTGCGCGATATTTACTCTTGCTCTCGAGTAAGTCACCTAACTAGAATTTAGGTCGTCACTGACACAGACAATGCATGCTCGAGCCCTTCGTCCCGCTTTTTAAAAAATACTTAGAAACAGCGTAAGGATATGAGATTCCAATCTTTCTTCTTCGAACGTATTGATTTGACCCCATAAGTGGAACTGCCACCTCATAGCATGTTGCCACCCGAAGCCCCCAGAACTCAGTTCAGGTGTGGGATACCTATCCAGAAGTTTCAACTCAATCACGTATGATGGAATCATCAAAGATTTGACATTTTCGAACTCTATTTGTAATTCACTATAGGCTCGAGGAACAAAGAGAAGATGTGTATGAACGAGATATACAGCAACAAGAAGAAGGAAAAGGATTGAATAGTATATTTTTTTCGTGAAAATTTTTAAATGGTAAAAATATTAAACTATGTATATATAGTTTTAATAATATATTTTATTCTCCGTTGAGAGTATTCCATAACAAACTGGGACCCACATTCTCAAATTCAAAGACATATAAAATCTTTGTTTTTTATTTTTGTTTGTCTCAAATTAAATTAGTTTTAAAATAAAAATAAAAAATAAAAACAATAATTGTGTGATTATTATAATTTTGACTACATTACAAAAATAGAATTTATTAAAAAAAAATAGATTTACAAGTTGAAATCTAATTTGATTTTAAAAAGTTGAAATTTTATAAATATTTATTTAATCTAGAAACTCGAATAAAATAAAAATCAAAGAATAAGAGAGCATAATAATATTTCTATTTCTATTTGCTAAACAAAAAAAATCTAATAAATTCAATAATATTTCATAAAAATAAAAAAAATTCTAATAAATTCAATAATATTTCGTAATAAAAATTTAAAATAATATTTAACATAAACAGTCTACTATACAAAATTTTGTAAGATATTATTTTTACAATTTACATAAATTATGCTACAGCTGTGTTACTTACAGTATATTTATTAAATCGACAAATTATCACAATAATTAAAATAATTAATTAATCAAATTACTTCTTCCACTAACTAATTATACTCTACCAACAATCTCATCTTCTTCCTCCGGCTCCTTCCCTCCGCCGCGCTCCTTAGCCGGAGCGCCGTCGATCTGAATAGCTTTGTACGAATTCGCCTTGTACAAATACATCAGAAGATCAATCGCCGTTAAAGCCGCGATTAGGAAGTAAAATCTGTCCAAATGGCCGGAATTTAAGTCATCGGGAATCCACCCAGGGTCTTCCCCTTTCGTTGTAATCGCCATCACCGCGTTCACCAGCAAGATACTGCCGTAATTTCCGAGCGAAATCGACGCCATACACAATGAACTCGCTAAACTCTTGATTCCGTCAGGCGATTGCGCGTTGAAGAACTCCAATTGGCCGACATACATGAAAACCTCAGAGCAACCTACAAGAACGTACTGAGGAACCTGCCAGAAGATACTCAGAGAACTCTGTTTCTCTCCTGGAATTACGTACTTCAGCCTCTTGGTCTCGGTTACGGCGGCGGCGATCATCGCGAGCATTGCGATTACGAGGCCGATCCCCATTCTTTGAAGCTCTGTCAGTCCCTTAGGTTTTCCGGTGAAACGGCCGGCGAGAGGAATTAGGACATGGCGGTATAGGCCGGTGCTGATGAGGACGCTGCAGATGTCGAAGGCGGACATGCTTGCGGCCGGAATGCGGAATCCGTTGGCGACAGTGGAGTTCATTACGTCGCCCTGTTCGACAAACAGAGAGGCCATTTGAGCGAAGACGACGGAGTACATGATGGTGCAGAACCAAATCGGGAGCATTCTGATTAGGCATTTGGCTTCTTCGACCTGCGTTACTGTGCATAAACTCCATGGATTCTTCAATTCCCTTGTGTCGTCCTCTGTAACCGTCGCCGCCTTGTCCAAAAACCTGTAGTTGATTTAGGTTACATGAAATCCATTTTCAGCAAGATCAAGACACAAATTGAGGATTTAGGTTAAATGAAATCCATTTTCAGCAAGATCCAGGCACAGAGTGAGGATTTAGGTTACATGAAATCCATTTTCAGCAAGATCAAGACACAAATTGAGGATTTAGGATACATGAAATCCATTTTTCAGCAAGATCAAGACACAAATTGAGGATTTAGGTTACATGAAATCCATTTTTCAGCAAGATCCAGGCACAAATTGAGGATTTAGCTTACCTGAAATCCATTTTTCAGCCAGATCAAGACACAAATTGAGGATTTAGGTTACACGAAATCTATTTTTCAGCAAGATCCAGGCACAAATTGAGGATTTAGGTTACAAATTGAGGATTTGAAAATCGTACCTGCAGCCATTGCTATGAAGAATCTTCCGGCTACCTTTAATGGCAGAAACAGGGCCATCGACCTCAAACAGCCCATCTCCACTCGCCGGCGGCACTTTCCACTTCTTAGCCGCCGCCATAAACACCTGCGCGACGCGGGACAGAGGGTTCCCACACGCTTTCACATACCGATACCGTTTTGTTCCAAGCAAGTACAAAACCAGCGCCAGCACCGCCGAGCCAAGGGACACCAAAAACCCTAGCGTCCAGTGGCCGGAGTCCTCAAAGTAGACGAGAATGGTATTGGAGAACAGAGAGCCGAAATTGAGAGCGAAGTAGAAATAGGAGAAGAAGGTCGGCTTCGCGTTGACCTCTTTCTTGTTGGATTCGTCGAACTGGTCGGCGCCGAAGGTGGCGAGCGTCGGCTGGTGGCCGCCATAGCCCAAGGCGATGAGGTAGATGGAGAGGTAGAAGATTGTCACACCTTTGATGGATGATGGCACACAGTCTAGTACGTCGTTGCCACACCCCGGCGGGTTTAGGAGGAATAGGTTCGTGGTTAGGGATAGTAGCCCCAAACCCTACATTTTCAACACGTAACTAAATCGTCACCTTCACGACTTTCACGACGCTTCGATTCTAAATCAAAATAACATCGAAATTAACTTACCAGTACGAAAATGAGTTGAAAGATGGCACAAGTCACATATCGGCCCCAATAGGAGTCGCTAAGAAATGCCCCAATGAGGGAGCAGAGGTAGACAGTGCCAGTCCATTTGCTAACGCCGTTAGCTGCGGTGGCGCTCTCTTGATCAAGCACTCTCGTTAAGAACAACACTAAGTTCACTGAAACTCCAAAGAAAGCTAGGGTTGCGAGCGCTTGGTTAACTGTTTCAATATATTCAAAATGAATCATTTATTTATATTCGTACCATATGAGCTAAGATCTCGTTTGATAATAATTAAACCTATAAATATAACTCTTGTGGATTTATATTTAGTCTTATACCCAAAAGAGTAAGATCTCAACTCGGGTTTTCAACGATCTTATACCCAAAAGAGTAAGATCTCAACTCGGGTTTTCAACGATCTTATACCCAAAAGAGTAAGATCTCAACTCGGGTTTTCAACGATCTTATACCCAAAAGAGTAAGATCTCAACTCGGGTTTTCAACGATCTTATACCCAAAAGAGTAAGATCTCAACTCGGGTTTTCAACGATCTTATACCCAAAAGAGTAAGATCTCAACTCGGGTTTTCAACGATCTTATACCCAAAAGAGTAAGATCTCAACTCGGGTTTTCAACGATCTTATACCCAAAAGAGTAAGATCTCAACTCGGGTTTTCAACGATCTTATACCCAAAAGAGTAAGATCTCAACTCGGGTTTTCAACGATCTTATACCCAAAAGAGTAAGATCTCAACTCGGGTTTTCAACGATCTTATACCCAAAAGAGTAAGATCTCAACTCGGGTTTTCAACGATCTTATACCCAAAAGAGTAAGATCTCAACTCGGGTTTTCAACGATCTTATACCCAAAAGAGTAAGATCTCAACTCGGGTTTTCAACGATCTTATACCCAAAAGAGTAAGATCTCAACTCGGGTTTTCAACGATCTTATACCCAAAAGAGTAAGATCTCAACTCGGGTTTTCAACGATCTTATACCCAAAAGAGTAAGATCTCAACTCGGGTTTTCAACGATCTTATACCCAAAAGAGTAAGATCTCAACTCGGGTTTTCAACGATCTTATACCCAAAAGAGTAAGATCTCAACTCGGGTTTTCAACGATCTTATACCCAAAAGAGTAAGATCTCAACTCGGGTTTTCAACGATCTTATACCCAAAAGAGTAAGATCTCAACTCGGGTTTTCAACGATCTTATACCCAAAAGAGTAAGATCTCAACTCGGGTTTTCAACGATCTTATACCCAAAAGAGTAAGATCTCAACTCGGGTTTTCAACGATCTTATACCCAAAAGAGTAAGATCTCAACTCGGGTTTTCAATGATCTTATACCCAAAAGAGTAAGATCTCAACTCGGGTTTTCAACGATCTAATAACAAAAGAGTAAGATCTCAACTCGAGTTTTCAACGATCTTATACCCAAAAGAGTAAGTTCTCAACTCGGGCCTTCAACGATCTTATACCCAAAAGAGTAAGTTCTCAACTCGGGCCTTCAACGATCTTATACCCAAAAGAGTAAGTTCTCAACTCGGGCCTTCAACGATCTTATACCCAAAAGAGCAAGTTCTCAACTCGGGCCTTCAACGATCTTATACCCAAAACAGTAAGATCTCAACTCGGGTTTTCAACGATCTTACAAAATAACCATCTTTTTAATCCATATTGGACCGGGTTCAAATAAATAATGAAATTTTTAGAAAATAGAAAATTAAAAATGATGACCTAATAATAGAGTTGCAAGTTTCCATCCTCCAGTGTTCTTTGAAACAGTGGGTCTCTCCCTATGCACAGAAACAGCTATTGGCTCTTCATTAGGGTCATTTTGGTCATTTTGGTCACTGTTTTCATTGACACCTTCTGCTTCAATTGGGTCATTTTGGTCATTCTGGTCATTGACGCCTTCTGCTGCTTCTTCAGCAATCTACAATTCCATTAATAAATCAAATTATCCGAAATAATAATAATAATAAATTATAATTCGTCTCGTAATTGTTTTCTAAAATTCTAACCTTTACGGTGATTTCCTCCCAAGAATCCATTTTTAACTCTACAAAACAAAATAAAAAGAGTTGAGTTTAACGATCTCATTGAATAACTTGTTTTCAAACGCCAGAAGGTCGAGACCTTTTTGCGAAACTTGATAAGGGCAAGAGTGACTTGTTCGGGAATGGTAATGAGAGACGACAACGACTCAGGGGACAGAGAAGATGATCGAACACGAAAAAGAGGGGACCGAGATTGGGAAATCAGGCGTGGATGATCGTAGTCGGCCCCAAAACTAAAACCTTTTGTCATTTATGGTAAAGGAATGATTGTGTTGAATCAAACTAATATCAATAACCAAAGCTTAGGTCTCCAATGGTTTTGAGCTCTAATGGCTGATTTTTCTTTTTTTGGAAAAAAAAAAGAGTAGAGAGAGAAAGAGAGATTGTGTTGAGAGAGAAAGAGAGTGAATTAGACATATTTATAGGTTAAAATATGGCTGTTGATGAGATCCAAATTAATAGGAAATTCATTGCTTACAAATTTCCTCATTTTTTGCACATTCATTTGACTTGGTTTTAGGTTTTTTTACTTACACCAAAAATAGACCATAAATTTTATGTGGTAAAAATAATAGCAATAATTTATAAATATATATATATTTCGTTTAATTTATTATGACTATTAAAAAAAAACAAATTTAGACGTTAAATGTAAAATTCATTCATTTTTCTAGCTAAATTAATAAAAATACTTCTAAACATTATACTTTATATAATATAAAAAATTATGTTTGAATTCCTTATGATATACCACTGAAAGGGTTTGAATTAACCCTATCATATTTCTTCCCGAGATGAAAGAAAAGATTTCCCATCAAAAGAAATCTCTTGCGAGTGATAGAACCTGTTCTAACCAGAAATATAGTGAAATCACATTTTCCCTTCTTTCTCTGGACCCTGCGACTAAGAAAGATTTCACTTCTTAAAATATCCCATATACGTAGGCGGTAAGAAAAATTTAAAATATCCCATATACGTAGGCGGTAAGAAAAATTTAAAATATCCCATATACGTAGGCGAGAAGAGATCAGATTTATCCAGACGGGAGTAAGAGTAATAATAATGTTTATAATGGTAATAATAATGTTTATAATGCTACTAGTAAGCAAAATAATACGAAAAGAAAAAAGGAGGATATGAAATAACCAGTGTAGATGCATCGAATGAGGGTCAAGTGGTTGAGATTATCCCTCAAGGACCCGGACTTAACTTTCAAAAGTTTCAACAAAATTAGAAATTAGAATAGATTTTTGTAACAATTTATATATTGTTTAAAATTGAACAAGAATCCCTTATCCCATACTTACAATAATCTATGGAGAAGACAAATATAAATATAAATTTATCCTCTAAAATTGAACAAAAATATCTTACCCCATAATATTTGTAATAATTCAATGATTACCCACCAAATCGAGCGACAAAGTCAAATATAATCATCTTTTCTAAAATTGAACAAGAATCCCTTCTACTTGAACTACCCAAAATTATGATTTAACAAAAAAAAAAAAAACAGAGAGTTTGCAAACAAGAAATATATGTATGATTGGATAATTTCTTATAGTTATAGGCAGATGAACAGCAACTAACACAATTTACATGCTAAATAAAGAGAAATTTTGAGAAGAAACCTGAGATGAAAAAAGAAAAGTGTTATTAATCTCAACTCCATTTGCTAGTGTTGTTTCAAATGTAGTTTAATTTGTTTCAAAAGTAACCAAATCTTGTTTAGTTTCTGAAAACTTTCCACCTTCCAAAATCCCAAAACACCCATCAATTTGAACCTTTTTTCAACTGAAACAAAGAACAAAAAAATTATAGCACCATTGACAACTTGTTTTACCTCTCCCCTGCAACTGTAACTTAACTTCAACCATGGCTTCTTCTTCCTCTTCTTTAATCCCACTTTCCCTCCCCACCATTTCCCAATCTCATCCACCATGGAAGACGAAGCATCCTCCACCTTCATTTCCTTCACTAAGTCCCCTCTCCTCATAGATGAAGTTTCAGATTCTAATTTCTCAGATTATGCCTTACCTGATGCCAAGCGGATGAGATTAGACCATGATCTTAATGATGTAGCCACCGTCGACAAATTTAAAGGTGTAGTGCCGCAACAGAATGGCCGCTGGGGAGCGCAGATCTATGCGAACCACCAGAGGATCTGGCTCGGTACCTTCAAATCGGAGAAAGACGCTGCCATGGCTTATGACAGTGCCGCTATCAAGCTTCGCACCAGAGACTCTCACCGGAATTTCCCATGGACTCGCCTATCAATCGAGGAGCCGAATTTTCAAAGCAAATTCTCCATAGACGCCATTCTCAGCATGATCAAAGATGGATCGTATTCCTCGAAATTTTCCGCCTACTTACGAACGAAGTCTCAAATTAGCGACTCGAATATACAGAATCTCCAAACTATTGAAAATGGAGACCGCGATGGCCATTTCTCTTGCAGCCATCTATTCCAGAAGGAATTAACACCAAGCGACGTCGGAAAGCTCAATCGACTCGTAATCCCTAAAAAATACGCAGTGAAGCACTTTCCGTACATCAGCGAGAGTGCAGAGGAGAACAGCGACGATATCGAAATCGTCTTCTACGATACATCGATGAAGACATGGAAGTTCCGATACTGTTACTGGAGGAGCAGCCAGAGCTTCGTCTTCACCAGAGGCTGGAATCGATTCGTGAAAGAGAAAAAGCTGAAGGCGAACGACATCATCACGTTTTACACATACGAAAGCTGCGGAAGAGACAAAAATGGCGGAACATTGATTTTCATTGACGTAATCTACAAGAAACCGGAAGATGACCGGAGCGAGAGTAGTTGCTTAGCGGCGGAGAGAGAGAGTATCAAGAACGAACAATTGCAGAGAGACTTAGGGCTTGATCGGGAGGACTGTGAGGGGAAGAAGAAGAAGGAGGAGGAGGAGGAGATTTTAAACCGTGAAAAATTAAACCCTATTAGCCAAAATGTTGGGCAAAAGCGAATTAGGTTATTTGGAGTGCATATTGATTAAATGAAATTAGGGTTCAAATTAGGGTTTTAAAGATTTGAATCAATCTCGGTTCAATTTTCTTTTTGGGTATCTAATTTCAAAAGGGTCGAAAATGGAATCGATAAGTACAGAGGACGTGTTTGTGGATGAGATTCAGAAAAGTATATATATTTTCTTTAACAATTGCTGTCTATGGTATGCCCTAAATTTTGTTAGCTCGATACTGATTTGGGTCTTACACGAACGGAATTGGTGGGCTCGAGAGAGATATTGTTCGATCAAATAAGTGTGATCGATCTGGGTTATTTCACAATGTGATCAAATAATGCGCTCGGGAGGACGAAGTTGACTTGGATGAAATTTTCGAGAATCCTTTAATGAAAAACATAATTGTTATAAATTCAAACACAATCTCACATCAATTAAAAGTGTGTAAATTTCTTGTGTTTTAAGAGCATGGACAACATTTTCATCGATATGAAACATTTTGAATCGACACAATAAATAAAATTATGTAAAGTTCAAATGGGACAGTATCATATCATTACAAAAGTTAAAAGTATGTACTTTAATTTATTAATTTTTATCATAAATTAAATCAAAATAATTAAAGTTAAATGAACACGACTCTTCGCAATGATATGATATTGTCCACTTTGAACATAAGCTCGCTTCACAATGACATGATATTGTCCACTTTGCTCGTTTTGGACTTCCTTAAAATGACTCATACTAATAGATATAACATGGTTTTGCTCTAGACTTTCCTAAGAGAACATGATCTGAGTTTTTCAAGAGGCCTTATACCAATAAAGAAAGCATTCTTGATTATAAACTCGCGATCATTTCCCAAGTTAAACCGATTGAATGAGACAAGATTTAAGATTCCAAAATGTTTGGAAGATTCCCACAATATTGGAATAACATCATATTCAAAAACAAAATTCCCGACAGTTTTAGACTCTCTATTGACTTCTTCTTCTTCTTCTTCTCCAATGGCCAAAGATCAACTTTCTGAAAGCAGCCGACCTACCAACAATGGCTTCCCAACTGTTCAATTAATTCTCTCGCTCTCTCTCTCATTCATGAATTCACAAATTCATTATTCGCCGTCTTCTTTACCAGCCCTTTTCGGCGTTCTCCAACCTTTTTCTTCATCTTTTTCATGGACACTTCTTCACCACTCTTCAAAACCCAATCAATTTCTTCTCCTCCTCTTCGCGTTTCATCGAAGGCCCGATTGATCTTGTTGCAGTATCCATTGTCGCGCTCTCTCCGTCGCCAAGAAATGTAAGAAATTAACGTTTTGCTGCTTCTCTCTATCTGTTCTGACTTGGATTTGAGATGTTTCTGCAAATTTCTGAATCTCTCAATCTAATTGAATCATGAATCCCCTTCAATGTTTTCGGAATCTGCAATTTTTGTCCTGGTGAATTTCTTGCCCTCTAAGTGTTTGTGAAAATGTCTGTGTGGTGAAACTGTGTGTTTCTTACGCTTTGTTGTGTATACTCTTCTCTGAGGTTCCAAGAGATTCAATTCTTTGTTTGATCATCTGCAGAGTTATGGATTTTGTTTGAAATTTACTGTATAGATAGCCATCTTCTATAAGATGTCGACAACCGGAGCCTATTATCTTCCGATGTGCACACTGAGAAACAGCAAGCTCTCTTCTGCTAAACTTAGAAATGTCTACAATGTCTCCTCTTTGAAACACTTTCAGCTGAATTCCATCACTTTATCTTCTACACGAACTGGGAAGCTTGCAACTATTGCTATCTCTGGATCTAATGAACACCAACCCGTCTCTGGGTTGCCGATTGATTTGAAAGGTTGTCCCCTCAGTTTTCTAAATTTGTTTCTATCAATATGCATTTGTTTCTTAGTTTGACTGTGTTGTAACGGAAGCCGAAGCTAGGTCAATCGTACTCACACATCCACAAATAGAAATTAAAGAGACAAAGATTTACCTAGTTCGAAAAGAAGATGACATTAATGTCATACATGAAGCAAGATAATTCATGTATCATAATGGAAGATGAACCAACTAAACCAGAGTTATGAACCGAATAAATGTCAATACATGCATAGGAGATACTTAAACCTATTCTTCATGACAACTTACAGCACCGTCGGGATATAAACATATTGATTTAAGAGGTTGTCCCCTCTGTTTTCTAGTTGTATAATTCTCAAAATCAGTTCAGCAAATTTTTGGGTTTTCTGTTCAGGTAAGCGGGCATTCATTGCTGGTGTAGCTGATGACAATGGTTATCGTTGGGCAATAGCAAAATCTCTTGCTGCTGCCGGAGCTGAAATTATTGTTGGTACGTGGGTGCGTGTAAGTATAATCCCATAGCAATTTTCATCTTTATGTTTGAATGATTTTATTGAACCCTATAAAATTTGGTCACTAAGAGCTTAGAGTCATCTTACCAGGCTTTAAACATCTTCGAAACCAACTTGCAACGTGGAAAGTTCGATAAATCTCGATCGTAAGCTGTCTAACCATATGGAACTCATTTTACCTGTGATAGTAGTTTCTGCTACTGAAAATTTGATGTTTCAGATTGCGAGATGGATCGTTAATGGAGTTCGCGAAAATATATCCCCTGGATGTAGATTTTGACAATCTTGAGGATGTTCCAGAAAATGTAAGCCGAACCTCCACAATGGTATAATATTGTCCACTTTGAGCCTAAACTCTCGGGACTTTACTTTTGGTTTTTTCAAAAGGCCTCATACCAATGGAGATTTATTTCCTTATAAACTCATGATCAACTCCATAATTAGCCGATGTGGGATTCCTCTCCTAACAATTCTCAATAATCCTCCTCTCGAACAAAGTACACTATAGAGCCTCCCCTGAGACCTATGGAGCCCTCGAACAACCTCCCCATAATCGAGATTCGACTCCTCTGGAGACTTCGAACAAAGTACACATTTGTTCGACAGTTGAGTCACTTTTGACTACACCTTCGAGGCTCACAATTTTGTTCTACATTTGAGGATTCTGGCTAAGTTAAGGGCACAACTCTAATACCATGTTAGGACCACGTTAGGAATCATACCTCGATTTCATTTCATGCAGATAAAAACAAAGAAGCAGTATGCAGTTTGCAAAAATTGGACAGTTCAGGTACTGAACTTTCCTTGCACAAGCATCACCCATTCAACTTCACCACTTCCTTCTAATCTGTACAAGACATTCTGGTGTTCACTTCTGAACCTGTAAATGAAGAGGAGTATTAAGACTAGATACAATATACTCGAACCTATTAGCTTAAACTTTTGGGTTTGATTTTAAATGGACTTCAGGAAGTAGCAGAATCAGTTAAGAAGGATTTTGGAACCATTGACATCCTTGTGCATTCACTTGCAAATGGACCGGAGGTATGCAGTTTCTGTAAGCCAGTTAATCATACCATTTGGCATCTTCATCTTAAAGAGTTGTGTTGATAACAGGGAAGTAAACCTCTCTTAGAGACCTCCAGGAAAGGTTACCTAGCTGCTTTCTCTGCATCAAGCTACTCTTACATCTCTCTTCTCAAGCATTTCGCTCCAATAATGAATCCAGGCATGCTCTTCATTACTTGTCTTTGTTTCATTCTATGAACTTCGGAAGCTTTTGACTAGAAAGGCATTCTCGAGAGGCTAAATTTTGATTTCGAAACTTGCAGGCGGTTCGTCGATCTCTCTGACATACATTGCTTCCAAAAGGATCATTCCTGGGTACGTGCTTTACGCGTAGTTTCTTTAAATCATTCATCCCTCTCATGAGCTGATAACTTGAATTGTGCTTAGATATGGGGGAGGTATGAGTTCAGCAAAAGCTGCACTGGAGAGTGACTTACGAGTGAGATTCAGTACCTTTCTTTGTTGCTTCCCTTTACTTTTCCTTTCTCCTTGTACCATTCTTGATTTATCTTTCAAATCAGGTGCTTGCTTTCGAGGTGGGTAGAAAAAACAAGGTCAGAGTGAACGCCATATCCGCTGGTAGCTTCAACGAGTCAACTCGGAAAACTGCAGTTTATCTTTACAGTTTAGGATCATCTAGGCTCTTCTGATCTGTTTTCCACCATTACCATATTTTCATTCTCAGGTCCTCTAAGAAGCCGGGCATCGAAAGCAACTGAATACATCGATTCGATGATAGACTACTCACTAGCAAATGCACCTCTGCAGAAACCATTATCTGCAGGTAGTTTCTTCATCTGCTGTTCTCATGTTGTTTATACCAAATCTTGATCTTCAAAACTGGTTGAACAGAGGAGGTGGGGAATGCAGCTGCCTTCTTGGCATCTCCTTTAGCGTCTGCCATAACTGGTTCTGTTATCTGTGTCGACAATGGTTTGAACACCATGGGAGTTGGAGTCGATAGCCCGACACTCAAAGGACTGTATCTTCTAAACCCCAACTGACGACCACCAGAAAAACTGCTGACCGTCAAAACGAAAACGTTCCAGCTGGGGGCCAAGTCTATGCTCATTTCTTGTTGTTGCTCCATAATTTCTAAGAACTTCATTTCATTTACTCTCGAAGATGGTTCAAACTTCAAAGTGATAATAAATGGGGCAAACATGCTTATAATTAGAAGTAAATATATTTTGAATCTTGCAGAACTACAAACAACATGCCCCTGGCCCTACTTTCGGGCTACCATTCCTTGTGTTAACGTAATTAGAGACTCTACCTTTACAGAATACTTGGAGCTTGATCTAAGCTACCCACAAACACCATAACTTCTGTTAGAGAACTTATATTTGCCAATCATTTTCTCCTAGAACCTAATGACATATTCACAGGGCAGCCGTTAAATATACAACCAACAGAACAAAAACCGGAAAGAAGAACTCACATCCGGTAGTTATCAGAGCTCTAATTTTCCTAACCTTGACTAAGCTTTTTCTTGCACCTCAACATTGCAGTTGGTCCTGAATGAGCGCCATTATCAGGGGAATCCTCAACAACAGTTTGCATAACTAAACCACGATTTCTTGACAGCTTTCGAATTGGCGTGGTAGGCAATGACGCTGATTCAGAATCGTCCGTGGTTGCTTCTTCTTGGGGCATGGGTGCTGAATTTAGAAAGTTCCTGTGGGGCATCAACTCCTCTCCAACTGGTACTATGTCCATCATCAACTGCAAATACATTTCACAAGTATGTGTTCCTCAATTGAAGCCAAGGATCTAAATAATACACAGCATTTGATATATATTATGAGCCTCTATCCAATATTATATACAAGTCTAATCATAGTACACAGCTGCAAAATACTTTTCTTAATATTTGAACTCTGTTTCATGACACTGGGAAATGTAAAGTTAGTATCATAGCAATGAATGCTTCTCTGTACCTTCCAATCCTTAAAATCGAATCTGAATACGAAGTGACTATAATTAACTTCGTGTGACATAATGGCACTATGGGCCGGGGCATTCTTCGGAGCTGAAAATATTGACAGAAAATGTAAGTATAATGCAAAGAACACAATGTTTTAAAAGAAAAGTACAAAAAGTTTACTCACATACAAAATGAGAACCATTTTTATCAATAGTTATCTCGGCCCGACCATCCTTGACCAGAAAGGAGAGAGCAAATAAGTTCTCTACTGTCTGTGCAAAAGAGTTTCTATTCAATATCAAATGTTCAAGTCTAACGGTTTTATTCCTCCTCAAAATTCCAAACATGATGCTCATGTTCTTATCTGTATCCGTTTTTGCTTCAGATCCATCTTCATCAACCTGCACATATGAATTGAGATAAAAATCAACGAGACAAAAGAATATCTAATGCATGAAAAACAAACATAAATGCAACCTATTTTGCAAACCATTTGACCAAACAGAAAAAAGTTAATAAGTATCTGCAAAGAACATCAAGCTGGAAAGCTAGAGGTGTGACTACAAACAAGCTTCGTAAGGTTCGGCTAAAACGTTAATGAGTTCAATTATATATGTCCAACCCGAAAAGAAATATCTGTACTTCCAGTAAAATTGGACACTCACCATCTAATAAAATAATCTAAAACATGTTTACACTAATCTCCAAGATGCTTAAAAATTTGACTGTAGTATTGAAGTTAAAGTCTAACCTCTGCAGGTCTCGAACTTTCAGTAGGCCTTGAACGTTTCCGGGCAATATTAGTCTTTCGCTGCTTCAACTGAGTGCTCATAGGTCCAAGCCTTGAAAAAGACACGAGAAAGAAGTTATATACTTGGTAAAAACATTCATAGAAGCCACTTTAGCATTAAGTTTGAGAGAAAAAGGAATCTAAGAGTCTCACATGGTGCGGCATCCATGGCCATTCATGAAAATAGACGAAACGCTTAATCCAATATCTTTCCAACTGAGAGAAATCGGATTGTTTTCTTCAGATGTTATACCGCCTTCAATGTCAGCAAATTCTTTGAGCAGACAGCTGACAAAATCTGATGGAGTAACACCTTCATTTGACTGCGACTTAATAGAGGTCACGAGGGAGTTTGCAATATCTTGCAAGGCTTCTGCATCTGCAACTTGTTCCCTTGGCTTCTGAACTGAAACCCAGATGGAAACACAACCATATAACCTGAGTAACAATATCAAAAGGAAAAGGAACAAGCCCCCTTTCAAAACTCAAAACTCGAAGTTCAAGTCACATTCAAACTTTTATTGTTGAGGATTATTGGGAGTGTGTCCCACATTGGTTCATTTAGTTCATTTAGATCATGGGTTTATAAGTGGGGAATACTATCAATCCATTGATATGAGGCCTTTTGGGGAAGCCCAAAGCAAAGCCATGAGAGCTTATACTCAAAGTGGACAATATCATACCATTGTGGAGAGTCGTGATTTCGACTATAAGAATGCTTGATTGTTTTCTTTTGATGAAAATTTTAAATCAAAGAGATAACAGTTCTTCAACGTAAACAAATTGAAAATAAACTATAGAAATACCTTGCTCGTGCAACTTTTCCACTTCATTGATGATAACATTGAACTTGTCCGAATCCTTCGTCAAATCCTCTCTCCTTTCTTCAAAAACAAGAAACCAAAAAAAGAAAACCCGATTACCTACACACACTAATGCAGAGATCCAGTAGTAATTAAAAAAAAAAAAAATGCAGAGATCCACCATACCACTAATCTCGTGAATGACCGCAAGATACCGAGACCGGAGAACCCGCCGCTTCGTCAAGCCTTGCTGACCCTCTTCAGCTTCAGCCATGTTGCCCTCACCGATGTTCTCTTTCTCCCGAGCAACCCTCGCCCGCTTAACATCTCTTAAATTCGCAGCATCGACGGCGTCGCCGCCTTTACTCTGATTACTGCGGCTACTGGCGGCGGGTTCCCGTTTGACAGGCCTCATAATCACGAGTGTGCAATGGAAACCCTAATCCAAAATTAGGGTTTGAACGCAGGGCGAAGAATCGAGTAGTCAGAGGCTTGTAGAGGACTTGGGAGAGCCGAGGATTGTGTTTTTGAATTTGGAGCGATAACAAAGAAGAGGAAAGGATGCATCTTTCCCTTTCCCGCTCCCCTTCTTCACAATTTACCGTTCTTTAATTTAAGCAACCACATTTGTTTATCTTAATTAATTAAATATTAAATTAATAAATACTCGTCTTATTTATTTTAATACTCTTAAATTTAATTTTTTTTTTTAAATACCCAATTAAGGTTATTATTTATGTTTTTTTTAATGTTAAAAGTATTTTTTTTTTAGTTTTTTAAAAAAAATTTAAGTTTTTTTTTTTATTAATTTAATATTAATAAAAATACATTTGAACTCCCGAGAACTTGCAATTTTGTTTGTACCAATTCCTTCTACCTAGTGTCTGCAGTGTGTCACAATTGCTGAGAAATTAGTACATCGTGCGACATTTATTCTAACATAGTGAATAAGTTAGCCATGTGGAAATTGAATTTTACAGACAGTTCGAACGTATGATCAATACGTAATTTACGTTTGACATAAAGTAATGTTATCAGCTAAAATGAATAATCAACCACGACGACTTTGATAACATATAAATCGAGTTTGAAAAATTGACGACTAGTCACATTTTCTATAGTACTTTTGAGACATTTTAACTGTAACACTTCTTTAGAACCAAGTCAAGACATGATAACAATTATGTTATGAAACTAGTTCGTTAGATACAAATTGTCAAGCCCAACAAAAAAGTGGGGCTCGGTATAGCCACCGTCCGGTTTCCAGGGTTAGGGTATTCTTTATTATCAGCCTACTCAAATCAAAACTCAACTAGTAGATTTTCTTTCGATTATCGGTAGGTCCGGCTTTCATTGTTGTAACCTAAGTGGGTCCTCTTGGCCACCCGCGACCTTGACTTTTTAGAGAATCCCGCTCCTATGTCTTGGGACTTGTTTTTTATCCTTCGGGTTTTGAGTGTGTAGACATGAATTTGGTAAACGATTATACACCTGTATTGTTGGAACATTGTACGATATAAGAGGCAATAATAATAAATACATTTTTATTCAATGTAAAAATCATTTGCATTGATCCAGTATTTCCCCTTTCTCTTCAATTTACAGGGACAGATCCAAGTATTCATCTGAAGCTCCTTCCATGGATTCCCACCATTCTTGCTCAAGAACATTCTAGCCACAATTATTCATTCATTCTCATGTAAATCCGTTTCTAGGTATCTCCATCCCCGAGAGGTAGTTCTTTGTTTGTTCATTTCACACCCTCGCCTTTTCCTTCTGCAAATCTCTTATCGATGCTTAGCGACAGAGCGTTTGATTTAGTTCGTTTTTGTTCAATTCATCGCGGGTTTACTTGTATTCAATATCACGCGCTCTCGATTGTTAGCTCACAAGTGAGGCGTGTCGATTTTAGTAGATGAAGCATATTTTCTATCTGAACTACTTGTACAGCTATGTTGTTAATTGCGTTTCTTGTTGGGTTTGGATCACATTGTGTTGCTGATTGGCAGGTGTTTGAAGGAATTTTATGATGGGGGATCAAAGAAGTCACAGAATTCTGATGGTCTCTGATTTTTTTTATCCCAACTTTGGCGGTGTGGAAAGTCACATTTATTATCTCTCACAATGTCTGTTGAAACTCGGTCACAAGGTTAGGAGATAAACACTGCTATGTATTTTCTGCGATTTTGTTGTTGAATCGAAATGTATTTTAAATTTCATTTGAGAATGAACAGATTTTTTTTTTCCTTTTCTGTTCCCTCACCGCTTGCACATTAGGAATCATGTTCTTGACATGTGGTTTGGACTTTGGAATATGTATTTCTTTAGAATTTCAGATACATTGGACATGCCAAGGACATCTTTAGGGGATGTCAAGACATATGAAGGGATGAGAAGGGATGCATGTTAATGCAAGCTCAAAGATTACATTAAAATATGAATGAATAAACAGATTATATGTAAGCTAAGCTCATGAACTCAGCAAAAGAAAACCAAACTATACCCAGAAAACTTAATCATCTGTTCAAACAGAAAATCTAACTCAGAATTTGGTCTTTTTGTGTTTTGACTATTATTTTGTCTAGAGTTTATATCTCAAGAAAAATATTATCTATTTTTTGATGTGTAAATTTTATGCTTAAGCTGAAATGTTACA